ATATATATAATATACACACACACACACAAACACATTTGGGTCTTTTTTGATACCGTAAATAAACTACCAGACCTCTGACATGGCTCTACTTCAATTATTCCTGGCCGTGCAGCATCAGTATCACGATCAAACAGATACCACTCGACCAAACGGACAATAATATCGGCCTTGTTTTACATATCAGGGCAGTACCGATATTCTAAAAAATGACCAATATCAGCCAATACCGTTGTCATTGCCGATATATTGTGCATCCCTAGTTTTTAATCACACTTTCACAGTGTTGACATTCAAAGATGTTTCCCATAGGTGCAAATTAAGAGGAAGCAAAACAGATTAAAAACAATTTAATTACAAAAGAACTTGAATAGTGTTTTGTTATAAAATACCCATCCCTAACAAGGATCACATCTACAGTTTGTTCTTATGATGACCTTGTCATATCCATGGTCATAGCCTAGACATGAGTCCAGTCTCGTTTATCAATGACCAACCCATATGGTGTGCACAGGCCCCATGTCATGAATATGCTGCCTCTCCTGCCACCACGCTCCACCAAGCATCCTGATTGGCTGACATTTATCCCTTTTTTTACTCATCTATTCCTGTTCCGGGTCATAGCTGCCTGTCTTTAATGGTCATCGTGCAACAGGCATGGTACACCTTGAAAAGACCATCATCCATCACAAGGTCACATAGAGATGAATGAGGCAGACAACAATTCACACCCTCACTTGCACCCAGTGACAATTTAGACTAGTATGTTTGTGGACTTTGTGGGGAAACCTGATTACCCAATAGGTAATAGTTCTTACCAACTAGTCCACTATGTGGTCTCGGTAAATGCACAGCCACCACAATAATAAACCATGACAGTCTTGCTTTGGAGGTTTGGTGCATGCTCAAAATTGTGGCGAACATATAATGCTCTACTATACATAACATGGAGCCCACTGCATTTTTAATACACTCCTGAAGACCAAGACCCTGCAAAGACCAGCCAAGTTCTAACTAATTTTTCACATCTTTTCAGGGTTGCCATCGAATGTGATGTTAATGTGAATTAGTCAGTGTTGCTTCATTTGGAGTATATTTGGAAATCGTAGTCTGCACCTGGGGAGCAGAGAGATTTTTTTCTGATGAGTGAGTCATACCTTAGACCACTGGGCAGGTTAGTGACCTATCAGATCTTTTAGAGAGAAATAGCTCCCAGTCCCAAATCAAAACTAACCACAGATATTTACTTCCTCTGTGCGCTGACTCACACTCTGAAAGTTTCACCTGTAGCCTCATCACCTCACGGATTCAACAGAAGTTCGACATTTCGCTGAATAAAAGCACAGTCCATTTTGTATTGGATACAAGATAAACAAACCAAGCACCTGCAGGACTTTTCTTTCTTTTTTACTGCTTATTTTTGCTCACATTATAGATTCATTTCCTGCTGTGCAGTAAGGTAGACTTTTCTTGCTACCCTCTCATTTAGTTTTTTATTTATTTTTGATTATTGATTTTTACTTATCTTTGTTCAATTCCAATTCTCTAAAGAACTTGCTGTCACAATGTTTTTATAAGGGATGACTTTCCTTTAAGTAAAGCATTAACATTGTCACCTAAAGCAATGCCAACTTTTTTTATTTTTCCTTTCTAGTTAATGTTTAATGGAATGTTTGAAGGCCACTAAAGAGTGCACTGAAAGAAGACCTGATAAGGCGTTTATAAAATTATAGTACTCTAGTGGTTTTTATACCCAGTTCTTGCTCAATACTTGGAAACATTTCCTGCTATTCGGACAGTTTCTTAAATTATTTAACATGAGGCGACATCAACATAAAATACAAGGAGCTGCAGTTTACTGACATTTGCTGCATAAAGTCAGAAACAGTTTGCTGGT